TGAGGCAAAGAACATCGTGTGGTTCTTGCCCGACATAGCGACTGAGTGTTCCTTTGCTATGATGCCCGATTCGTGTGAGATCACACCAATGCATTTCGCATCGAGGGCCCTTGGAGGATGGCTTGCTGGTCCTGACTGGATGAGAGCATGTCATGGCAGGGGTCAGGTCGTCACTCCCATGCTTCGTCTCGCACGTGGCTTCGACGAGATCCTGGAGTGTCTCGTAAAGCAACGTAGTTTCCGGGTCCTTGGTGAGACATGGCGTCTAGACCGGCACTTGTTCCGCTCAGTGTCTTTGTTCTACCGCCCGATGTGTGCTCAGGCTTTACATACACAAGTCTGCGGGGCGGACACGGGATCCCGTGGCAGAGGGGATAGTCCGTCTTATGCGGGCATCCGAACCATTGCCGGTGAGCAAGCAATGGTCTCTCCACCGGAAGTGGAAACATGTGAAAGGCGCCACAGCCTGTGTCCTTGCTGTACCCGGATACATCAAAAAGGCTCAAGAGGAGCAAAACAGGAAGGGCTCCCAAGGTCGTGTGATGGATGCCAACGGATTCCTGTGTTTATGCACTCAGTGGCTGCACTGACTAGTTTCTCTGACTGGAGCAAAGGCTTCGGCTGCGGCAACTGCATGGGGCCTGTGATGCAAATGCAGGCTTGTGGTAAGGTAAGCACAACCCGTCTTTTGCGAGCTGTCACATGCCGCCATGCCTCGTTTGCTTTTCAAGCAGCCAGGGGGACTTTGGGGATTCGCAGAGTTTCGCAGATCGTCCAAAAGAAAGTGACTGAGCGGAATTCGACTTGCAAGTGACACTGTCGGAAGGAACCACATCTATGATCATTTTGTGGTTTCCGTCAGAATGTAGTCATGAGAATCCTGATTGGGAGGCCGAACGTTACTCATCATGTATCGTCCCAGTGCCAAATTATTTAGTTCAAACGTTAGGATCAGGCCTGGAGTCCACTAAGGTCCTCAGAGAGAGCACTGATGTTTTCTGCTGTGCTCATCTGAGTCTTTCTCGGCTGTCTGGATGGAGTCCCGTTGCCCAAAGCCTGGAAGCGAGGTATTCCCGCTGATTCGCCAGGCCTCTCAACCTACTGTAGGTTTCCACAAACAGATCGTGCATAGGTTGAAAATTAACACAGGACATTGCTTTTGTCGCGCCAGGCTCCGAAGCGCTGCAGTCCTCCCGTGGGCCTGTCTATGTGTTGGAGCAAAGTCACTTGCGCATGTCCCAGGGAGATTTTGTCAGGCACGTAAGAGAGGTTTTAGCAAACCAAACAATTGGACCGGTTAAGCCGCCGTGATTTCCGGAAGCCCGCTGTGGGTCCAGGTCCGGACCTGGACCCACAAACCGGTCAGATTTCTCTCCGTAGTTCAATGCATCAAGCTGCCCGTGGTCAGGGTCCAGCTGGAACACCTGCATTACGGAAGGAAATGTGTCACAGTTGTGGGTCCAGGTCCGGACCTGGACCCACAACCGTCTCTCGGAATCCAGCCCGCCTTATAGGGTCCAGTGTTCGCTGTGCTGCTACGTGAGGATCAAGTTTGGCGTGTTCCTGTGTCCCCTTCTCCAGACATGGGCTCCAAGAGTGCGAGAAGCAAGGCTAAGGCCAAGACCAAGAAGGACCGCAAGGGCGAGTCCACGGTTGGCAAGAAAGACGAGGTCGACGTCAAGCCAGCTCTGAGAACTGCCGACCGAGCCAAATTCACGGATTCTCCCTTCGACCTGTCTGCCTTCATCTCCGACGTAGCAGAGCGGCTGGGGTGCGAGCGGAACCCGTCTGCTGGGATGCTGAAGCTGGCGACGCTGTGCTCCGGGCTAGGGGCTGAGTGAACCTGTGCTGCTGCACGTCTTTCAGAGTTTCGTGATACTCAGTTCTGTGTTCTTGAGTGTGCCTAAGATTCGGCGCCCCCCGTCTGGTCCTGGATGCCTTGCTGGGCTCCGAATGCGTTGATGAGATTGCAGCCTGCGAAATAAATGAGGATGCGGTTCATGCTCTGCTGAAGAACCAGCCCCGCCCAAAGCAGCCGGGAGTGTTGCTGCGTGATGTGCGTGCTCTTGATGCCCACGGCAAGAGCTTCGACTTCATGTCATCCCAGACAGGCTCCTTCCCCGACCATCGTGCAGACCTCCTGGTCGCGGGATGTCCGTGCCAGGCCAATTCAATGTTGAACAGGGTCATCGCGAAGGTTCTTCCGCGGACCTTTGTGCTGGAAGGCAGGCCCGCCGACGATGAGATCCGCAAAGCGCTGGGCCATGACTATGTGTTCGTATCCATGGTGGTAGGATCTTCGCCGCTGCGCCTTGTCTGCTTCACACTGCTTGCTTCCTGCACTGCATTCTGTCTGTCAGAAGCCCAGGCCTGTCGTGAGAGACCGTGTGTGGACTGTCGGCATCCACAAAGACGTTTCTGAGAGTATGGTGAATGTGGAGGCCGATGTCAGAAAGGCCATGGACGTGCCCAAGCTTACCCACAGCGCCACTACGTTCATGCTCGAGTCCGTGCCGGCGGGCCTGCCTTCCAGAGATCGCCCAGATCGTCATGATGCCGTCCTTGCGGCTGCAGAAGCACATCGTTACGCCGAGTGCTTCAAAACAGCTCTCTCAAAGGCCACGAAGGCAAAGCGTTTGCCGAAGAATTTCCGAGTACCCCAGCTCGACGAGCGCCACTCCATCAACGTCAAGGAGGGTACCGCGTGGATGAGGGCCCAAGTGGATGTGTGCCGTGGCTGTGAAAGGAGACGTTGCCTGTTGCAATTCCCACTTCTGTGTGGAGCACTGGCGCCCGATAACCTTTACCTCCAGATCCAGGTACGGCTGCATTGCCAGCCACCTCATGAAGACCTCGGGAATTCAGAAGGAGCCTCTAGCGGATGTTGGACAGACATGTGGCCGAGGAGCTGTGCACGTCGCAGGGTCGGTTCCCACGGTCACGACCTCAACCCGGCTTTGGAGTTTCAAGCGTGACAGGTCCCTTGCCATGATGGGTGAGAGTGCTGTGCTGATTGACAGCCTGCATTTCTTCTAATTTTCAAGAGTAGGATTGGATGGGTGAAGTTAGGAGTGAGCGGCATGACCCTTCGCCGAGAGATCCCGAAAGTGCCCCGTAGGAGTCAGCATGACGGCCCCTGGTCCACTCACTGCTGCTACTACAACAGTGCTACTGCCACTGCTGTTGCTACTAAGTCACTAAGTCTTACTCACAAAGTCCGGGACATCCATTACCACGCCTGCTATCGTTTACACGACCAAAGTTGAATCTGAAGGCTGTCATGTATTATTGGGTTCAGGATGATGCTCCGTTGACAATACTGCTCCGTTCACTGTGCAGACAACTGCAGGTTCGTCCATTCTAGTGAATTGGCAGCAATGATGGGCTATCGGCTGGACCTGGGGGGGCTGACTGAGAGACAAGCTACAGGCCTTATAGGAAATTCGATGTCCGCGACGAGCCTCGTCGCCGTTTTGATGCCGGTGCTGAAGCAGCTGAATTTTTTCAAAGGGGTTTAGGGAACAGGTTTCAGGTTTAGGGTATACAGTCTCGGAACGGAAGGGTGATACAAGGGGATCCAAATTTTGATGCACACGGCTTACCATTCTGTACCCCGAAACTCGGATGGGGACTCAAAAGCCTAAACCGGCGGGGCCTTGCTTCCGACTCTGCCAGCATGAATAGAAAATACTGCATGCTGGACATTGCCCGTGCCAGTCAAGCTGTGTTGTGGATGCCATGCTGTTTTGATCTTGAACCTCGCAGCTGGGCCACCCAGCCTTTTAGAGTGCTGTTTTGCTGCGACCGGCGGAGCCATGGTGAAACGAGGCGTTCAAGATGCACCGCCGCCCGCGACCCGCAAGATCGGCAAGATGTCTCCCTCACCTGTGCCCGAAGCTGCTGGTCCGAAGCCTGCCATGTATGTGAAGATGAAGGAGATCTTGGGAAGCCCTGCTGTCAAGCAATTTGTGAAGGAGCAGGGGAATCGTGCGGTGCTTGTGGCTGGCTTTCAGATCTATGACCAGGAGGATTACACCAAAAACATGAAGCTGCACGGCGAGTACACCTGCATCATGAACGCCACGGCGGATTGATCCCTTGATTTTCGCCCACGAGAACATTCTGCCCGGTGTCGCTGCGGCGGAAAGGATGATGGCATCACACTGGATGCGGGGCAAAGCAGGAGGCAGGATGTCAGTGCATACACCAATGAGCATGTCACCGTATAATTTAGCTTACGGGAAAAGCTGCTGTCGGGTCAGGCATCCTTTGGAGCGAGCTTATTTCGGTAGCAACAACGTCCAAGACGAAGTTGCCAACCGGTTCCCTTTCACTGCTGCTACTACAACAGTGCTACTGCCACTGCTGTTGCTACTAAGTCACTAAGTCTTACTCACAAAGTCCGGGACATCCATTACCACGCCTGCTATCGTTTACACGACCAAAGTTGAATCTGAAGGCTGTCATGTATTATTGGGTTTAGGATGATGCTCCGTTGACAATACTGCTCCGTTCACTGTGCAGACAACTGCAGGTTCGTCCATTCTAGTGAATTGGCAGCAATGATGGGCTATCGGCTGGACCTGGGGGGGCTGACTGAGAGACAGGCTACAGGCCTTATAGGAAATTCGATGTCCGCGACGAGCCTCGTCGCCGTTTTGATGCCGGTGCTGAAGCAGCTGAATTTTTTCAAAGGGGTTTAGGGAACAGGTTTCAGGTTTAGGGTATACAGTCTCGGAACGGAAGGGTGATACAAGGGGATCCAAATTTTGATGCACACGGCTTACCATTCTGTACCCCGAAACTCGGATGGGGACTCAAAAGCCTAAACCGGCGGGGCCTTGCTTCCGACTCTGCCAGCATGAATAGAAAATACTGCATGCTGGACATTGCCCGTGCCAGTCAAGCTGTGTTGTGGATGCCATGCTGTTTTGATCTTGAACCTCGCAGCTGGGCCACCCAGCCTTTTAGAGTGCTGTTTTGCTGCGACCGGCGGAGCCATGGTGAAACGAGGCGTTCAAGATGCACCGCCGCCCGCGACCCGCAAGATCGGCAAGATGTCTCCCTCACCTGTGCCCGAAGCTGCTGGTCCGAAGCCTGCCATGTATGTGAAGATGAAAGAGATCTTGGGAAGCCCTGCTGTCAAGCAATTTGTGAAGGAGCAGGGGAATCGTGCGGTGCCTGTGGCTGGCTTTCAGATCTATGACCAGGAGGATTACACCAAAAACATGAAGCTGCACGGCGAGTACACCTGCATCATGAACGCCACGGCGATTGATCCCTTGATTTTCGCCCACGAGAACATTCTGCCCGGTGTCGCTGCGGCGGAAAGGATGATGGCATCACACTGGATGCGGGGCAAAGCAGGAGGCAGGTTGTCAGTGCATACACCAATGAGCATGTCACCGTATAATTTAGCTTACGGGAAAAGCTGCTGTCGGGTCAGGCCTCCTTTGGAGCGAGCCTATTTCGGTAGCAACAACGTCCAAGACGAAGTTGCCAACCGGTTCCCTGGAACCATTGAACAACGATCATCTTCGAATGGCGTTTTGGCTGACTTTGTTTGAGTCCTTGAAGGGCGGCTGGTCCGACGAGTTGATCGTGGCCTTCACTGGCATGCCGGTTCGCCTGGTCTTCGTGGCATCCGAAGAGGAGAAGGAGGCATTCAAGTGGAATCTGAGTGCAAAACTCAGTTCGATGAACGAGAATGCAGTGCTGCGTGGATACAAGAGGATCCTCGGCATAGTGTCTGTGAAGGACCAGTTGCAGAAGTGGAGCCGGGACAGCTCGGACGCTGGAGCGGCTCTGCTGCAAGGATTGCGATCCTACCATGCATTCCTTTCGCACTAGGTGTTTAGTTTCATTGCGGTCTGTCAGGTTTCGCAATGGCTCAGCAAGGAGGGCATCAATGTGAGCAAGGAAGTGGTGAAGTCCATGGTGCTCATCCGGAACCGTATCGTTGAGGCGGATCTGTCCGGGACCTTTGACCTGCTCGAGGAGACTTTCGGCATCAACCACCAGTTGAGCAAGCAGGCGGTACTGGACCGCATCATGCAACTCACGAAGGTTGAGAAGGACAGCAAGCAACAGAATGCACTGTTGCGTTGGGTGGTGTTGGACATCTTCAACGCACAGAAGGTCAGAGCGTTGACGGACACGGACAACAAGGGCTTTGTCATCAACCTTGCCAAAGCATCGCTTCTGTCCCGCAGGCTGTGCTACCTATTCATCCACAAGCTTCGGCTGTCGAAAACAGACTGCGAGGGCATTCGGACGGACGTGACCTTGGGAGCAGGAAATGTCGCCAAGTCGGCCTTGGGTTTCTACCAGAATTTCATGACCCACGAGGCTTGGGAGGCGAGCGAGTTGGGCAGCCTCGCCAGCAACACCCACTGGCTTTCGGACACGTTGCAGTATCAACAGGACAGCCTGACATGCATGCGGCTGTTCTTTCAGCCGACCGTGCAATGGTACCAGACCCTGGTTGAGTCCATTGAGAAGGATCCGGGCAACATGAACCCAGAGCTGTCCCTGCAGAATCCGAGATGGCAGAAGATGTTGCCGTTGTCGAGCCTGGTGGATGCCAAAGAGTAGACTCCTCACTTGAACATCTCTGCTTCTCGGCAGTAGTTCCTGCCCCAACAAACTGCTCATAAGGTCCGAGCTGAAGAAGCTTCGCATCATCCCGGAGGTGAAACCGCCGCCGGCTGAACCAGCTGAAGTGCTGGAGCCGAAGCATTTGGCAGCAGAGGACCGGGATAATCACAAGCATGATCTCTGCCGTGCTGCATATCTAGCAGGCCAGCTGGCAGTGACCTGCATTGTTTGCGAAGGTTTCTGTGCGATTGCAGCCACAGACTATGTCAGTTGGGGAGACCAGTGTGGAGTGCATACACCTGCTGCATCATATTTTCAAACTGACTTGTGTATCGCACACCAGCCCGAGGATCCAAATGACGAGGCCATGCACAAGGCCTTGGCTGACGGCTTGAACATGATGGTGGACAGCGAGGAAGCCGTGGACGCTCAGTCACAGGAATCGGAGCAAGCAACAATGCTACAGGAAACTTTCCAGCATGTGCTGCTGCCTGCAGATCTGAAGTCAACCTTGCTGAAGATGGATACTTTTGAGCTTGCAAAGCTAGTTTCCCATGCCACCACACGCCAGCGGCTGAGCATGCAGATGCCATCTCAGCCCGCATCTCCCGACGTGGTCGGAAGTATGTCAGTATCTCAGGTCGGGATGCCCTCGTTCATTTCAAGACCTATGACCCGCAGGCTCAGGGAATCGACGAGTTCATGGAGGAATGCTGGGCAGAGCTGCCTGCAAGCAGCAAGCTCGTCTACCTCGATGGCAAGCACTTCGGCCAGAGCATCGTGTCAGGCATGCCGCTTGCATACCTCAAGGGCTGCTTGGCCAAGGTCCTTGCAGCGACGGCGGATGCCAAGTTGCGCAGCTTGGGAGCCAAGGATCTCCTCGTCATCTCAGACGGTCGCAATAGTAAGACTGAGCAACAAATCAAACGGGAAGTGGCCAAGAAGATCAAGGAGTTGGCCGGAGACATGTGCCGAAGAAAAAGCACGGTCGCAGTCAGGCTGCTGTACCACTACCGTGAGCTGGGCGAGAACGGACACTTCAACACAAGAAACAAAGCAGCGATCCATGCTGCCCTCCCAGACCCATTGGAGAACCTATTCTTGATCAAGACCAGGAAGGATGGATCCCTGCCAGCACGTGACAGAAAGTATGTGGGCCTGGAAGCAGACACGTGCAGCCGAGGCATGCCAAATCTGTGCTCCGACCAGCAAAGAAGTCCTACATGCAGTGAGTGCATCTAGGACTACGGAGTTGCTGTTTCCTAGTTACTGCTCAGGTCGCTGAAGACCCCGTCCGAGTTGGCACTGTGCACACTGAAGCAGGACCTTGCGGAAACGATTGCAAGCACGTTCTACGACATGGGGAAGGAGGCCCAGTATAACGGGTCAGGTTCGGAAGAGGAGGATCACAAGGCAACCGACATCGCGACTGACAAGGAGGGCTCGACCAAGTACGTGCCACTGTTCCCGTTTGGCACGAGTTTGAAGCAGAGCCGGGAGTACCTCAATCTTTGGGGCATGACCGGAGAGAGTGAGAAACGATTCGTGCTCGACTTGGCCGCGGGGTCGGGTATCATGGCCGCAGCCTGCTGCTGTGAGAACCAAAAGTATTTGGGAGTTGTGCTCTCGGCATTGCAGAAAAGCGTGCTGTCGGAGTCTGTGCTGCTGTTCATCATGAAGAGCTTGGTACAGGGCGGGGAGCTGCGTAACATGGATGCCGTGAAATCGCCCCAGAAAGCACATGAGACTCCGGTGACTCTGGCATCATCGCAAGCTGAGGCGCCGTCACAGTCGCAAGAATCGGAGAGCCTGCCGGCGCTGCGTACACTGGACACAGGATCTGCTGGCACAGACACTTCGCAGGCATCTGCAAAGCAGATGGCGTCCGGTGCAGAGCCGACCGGCGCGGGCGAGTCCTCATCATCTGACTCGGACAGTTCCTGAGATCTGCATCGATGTGTGTTGCCAGGCTGTTAAGGAGGTTTGGGCAGCGATCTCGGCTTGCAGCGGATTGGGGCCTGAAACTAATGATTCTTCGTAAGCACCGCATGCTTTTCATGGCCGGTTTTGCGCATAGCCAGGATCTACTGACAGCCTGAGCCTGTTGCTGTATTTCAGCCGTGTCGACATACCCGAGTAAGGCACGCGATCAGCAAAAGCAGCTGAAGCCATCGTCTGCCATTCTTTAACTGACGGAGTACAGTATCCATGCCAATATGCCAACGCGACAGCTGCCAGACTGACATTTTCTGCTCACAGGCCTGCGTAGTGCTGTTCTTTGGTGACAAGCACATCATGACTCAGGCCTGCTTGGGGTTGGCAGTCAAGTCTCAGCCAAGAGTAAGAGCCAATGCAAAAATTCTCCGCCTTTCCTGCCACAGGCGACTGTCATGACCTGGATACCGGATGGTGTCAACATTGCAGCAGCTTTGCTGTCAGAGGGGCAGGTGATGCACTTCAAGCTCGTGGATGTTTCGCCCCCGGGACCCGTCACCACGAGGATCCGGTACTGGTCCCAAGAAAGTGACAGCCTAGAGTTTTTGGAGCGACCCCGTGCACTTCCAGACACTGTCGATGTGATTGTGGCCCACGTGCAGACAGACAAGGACGACACTTGTGGCGAGGAGCTGCAAAAAAAGATGAAGAAATTCTGCCCCGCGCTACTTCGATGTTGATAGTCTCTAGTGATACTTCCGATGCAGCAGAATGTGTATCACCCAAGCAGTGCCCAGCCTAAGTGACAGTGATGTTGTGTCGTAAAGACTGCTGAGGTTTGTGCTTCTGATTGTGGGGCCCTCCTTGGATAGGGCAGCTTTCGTTGGCAAGTGGGCCGCAGACTGGATCGTGCAGGACGACAATGCCTTGACCAACCGAGTAGAGCATTGGCTGCCTCATGTTCCTGGCCACAGCAATGTCGTGTTGTTGGCCAAAGACAAATCCTTGCTTCAGAAGGCCACCGCCTCTGCGCAACAATCGTTCAAGGACTGGGCCGCAACCCAGACTCGAGGGACTTCCTTGGCCAGCCATCTGCTTGCTCAGAAGGAGTTCAAGAAAGCCTGGAAGGGCAAACCGGAGATGAAGGAGGAGTCGGAGAAGCCAAACAAGCGAAAGGCAGACGCAGGAGACGTGGATGAGCCGCCGCAGAAGAAGATCACTCGTGAGGACGTCATTGCGCAGGCGAAGTCCTTGAACTTGATGTGCGACGACTATGCTGCAACCGAGGAGCACCTGAAGGCAGTTACACAGGCCAAAGTCACACAGAGGCTCAGCGTGAAAGGCGAGGTCCTTGCCTTGCTGCTGCTTGCACAGGCTTCAGAGAGTGGCTGCACTCAGCCTTTGGTCATTTCAACCAGCAAGTGGCCCAAGCCCAAAGCCAGCTTTGCAAGTCTTCCTCGATCCCTGCATGACGTGATCCTGGTGGTGCCATCTTCGAGACAGGGTGGGGAAATGCTTGTGCGAAGCCTCCTACCCGCAGAGATCTTGAAGATGAAGGGTTGGAACTGGAGAAGGACAAGCCTGGCAACACTCAGTCCAAAGACAGAGACAAAGACTGCTGAACGAATGCCGTACATGCCGGTGGTGCGCTCCTGGCTGCAAGGTGTTCTTAGTCATGTGACAAAGTGACCGGTCAACCTCCGTCAGTAGTTTAGTGGCATGCTGGAGCAAGGGGGCATGTCTGCAGGTAGACGGCTTGGGACTGCAAAAAGGAGATTTGCCCGGTGCTTGCCTGCAACGTAGAGCCGTCGGGACTGATGTTGATGCTGCTGAACACTCCAACACGAATGCCAGGGTAACACATGATGGAGACTGGGGCTTGCCTCTCAGACATCTGTGATGTTTTAACTGGAGCTCGGTTTTCTGGAACAGAAATTAACAAGAGGTCCTTCGGGCATGACTTATCAACAGATGTCATTCAATTTCCTTTCCACATATGATCTTGGCAAGCGCAAGTCGCCATGCCCCTTTAGGATAGAACGGACCTGACTCTGAGAGTGTCTTGTTTTGAGGCCAGACTAAGATGCCTCCGTCGGTATTCCACAGCTGTATCATGTGCAGTTTGGTTGCTCGTGCTTCCTGTGGCCAGACTGTGGACACGGACCCTTGCTGCAAGATTTTTCCAGTGTTGCATCGTGCTAGTTTGCCTGAGCCCTTCTTTGTCCTGCTGGCAATGGCGGCCTCGTGCAGTTGGTACACAGCCGTGCCCATGGAGCAGTGGGTAAAGGCTTTCCGTGATGTCATGTTCGAGGAGCCCGAGAAGGTGTACTTGGCTGGAGGTGGCAAGGTCCAGTTTTGGCATACACCTCTTGAGGCCTGCTTTGCAGCCGGGCAGAAAGCATGCGATAAAATTGAATAGACAGTGCAAGTTTGAGATGATGTTCTTCTGACTGAGCTGAGGCAAGTCTGTTCCATGAAGGCCGGGCCCTCAAGATGAACTTGAGCGGCATGGGCCGACGAACCGTGAAGGCTGGCAAGGAACTTCCCACGGAGTTCATGGTCGTGCAGCTAGAGATGCTCGGAGCCCAGGGGATGCAGTGGTTCAAGGACTGCACAGGCCCAAATTTCCTCATGAAGGGGATTGAGGCCTGCGCTGTGCACCTCGGAGAGCACGACATGAGCCCTTGCATGAACCGACTGGAGGTTGGTTTGGATCACTCAAACTTGTGGAAGGCAAGTGCCATGCACACCAGCCTGCACAGCACGACGAAAGACTACCTGTTTCACGAACCCTCATCACGAGTGCCGGAGGAGGTGCAGGATGCGTGGACACTTTGGGTGCCAGTCGACGCAGACTACAAGCTGTGTCGTGATGATTGGAAACGCAGCTCTTTCGTCACTTGGCTTGGTTATTAGTCAAAGCCCGGGAGTTTCTTGGAAGAGTGCAGGGTACGCCAGCTGGGCGGAATAATAAATATGAGGATCTCGTCCCCGATTTGGCCGAGTACATGGTGATGAACACATTGGGCTACAAGAAAGTGAAAGCAGGCAGCGACACCCAGTCGTCATGCACGGAGTCGGAGAAAATGGACGTGCCACCCACCACGGTCATGTTTACCAGCGAGCTGAATGCAGTCACACTGGCCAGCCTGTGCGGAAAGAGCTTGGATGCCGTCACATTGTTGCGCATGGATGTGCCGGCAAACATCCTGAACAAGAAGCATGGGGACCTCGCCGGGCTTGTGTGCTGCGTCTAGCAATTAGTCATGTAAGGTAACCTGCCCTCATGGTGTCACTCCAGTTTCTTTGACAGGAGTACTCCGTGAAATGGTCCACGTTGTTGAGCTCTGCCGCCCCACACGTCCTCGTCAGTGGAGCCAACAACGTGGTGGATGAGACGAGCATGGGATTTGTCTTGAGCATCTCGAGCAACCCCAGCATCACCAAGGCCAAGCTGGATACGCTCACAGGATGCGTGACATCCTTGCAAGAGGTCCTGCAGCCGGAATCGACAAAGCGCATCAGGCCTGAACCCTAAACCCAAAACCATCAGTCTCGTCGATCCTGGTTGCACTGGAACCAGGGCCCCAAGCTGTAACCGCGAAACCAAAACCCGGAACCCTAAGATCTGCAAATCATGGGATGCCCCTCCCTATCCGGTCCTGCCTGCACGTGAGGTAATTCATTTCGTTTGGGGCAAGTGCACAAGGCAATACACCAAACCGCCAAACCGTACCTTGAACCAAAAGCGAAAAGAGGGCCTGGACCGAAACAGAGAAAAACCAACTTCAAATGTGCCGAGAGTGGGTATCCCCGAAAACAGAGGCAGAAACCGCAAAGTCAACGAATCAGCTGTTGCCAGCCCCCTGCTGCTCGTTCGTCGCTTTCGCTCAAATCAACCCCGAACCCCAAGCCAATGTCCAGGAACCAGAAGAGGATGCGCGAAGTCGGTGCGGAGGTCCGTAGGCTTGAGGGCGAGCTCAATGAGAAACGCAGACTCCTGCAGAGCATGATGCAAGACAGGCCAAAATATTCGGGCCTGTAAAGACATGTGGCCAAAGAGCTGTGCACATCGCAGGGTCCGGGCAAACACTCAGGAGCTCGACCCGGCTTTGGAGTTTCAAGCGTGATGGCATTTTGGACAGCCGTCGGCATGCACCCTGAAGCGACATTGAGAGAAAAGACGTTTAATGTCGAGACCGATAGCTTTGTCCTTCCAGCTTGCATGCAGAATGCCCAGGATGCAAGACAGCCCAAAATATCTTGCATCGCCCAAATCTCCTGTTCCTGATAGCGAGGCCAGTCGTGCTGGGTCAGCACTGGAGCGCAACCTTCACTTTGACTCGTGCTTTGCTCAAATTTTCTGGTAACGGTATAACAATTTTGCTTGGTGACATCTACATCGTCATTTATTGACAGGATTGCAGTCTCATGTTTGCTCGATTGACAACTGGCAGGTCCACGACTGCCTTCGGTAAGCTTACGGCTCACGGTGAACACCAATGCCAATGAGAAGGCATGTTTACGGATTAGGGTTTCCGGATTCAGGTATCTCAAGCCATGTGTGCTGATTTTTGGGGTTTCAGGATAACATTGTCCCTAAACCCGAAACCTCTAACACTGGGAAATTTGTTGGATTATCGGATAGAGCTACCTATGAGCTATTATATAACTTAGCCGTCCAGTTATTTTTTCCTGGTTGTATCCGCAAATATGGAGGAGTCATCTAAATTTCATGACTGAAGTTGTCGCTGTCATTCTGGCCCCCGATCATGTGATGTGTCCCAAAAGCATCAGAAAACTGACCGATGATGATATTCAGAAGGGGGTTAGATGGAGATTAAAAGACGTAGCTTAGATAACAGGAGAGCGGAGTGGGAAAACATCACCTAACTAGATTCGTGCGGCATGCCCCTTCGCCGGTGAAACCAAAACCTAGAGTAGGTAGGATTTTGCTTGAAGAGTAGGATTGGGTAGGTGAAGTTGGGAGTGAGCAGCATGACCCTTGGCCGAGAGATCCCGAAACCTACTGGTTTGTCCCCTGGTCCGTTTACTGTTCTTGCTACTACTGCTGCTTACAACAAGAACAACAAACTAACTAATAATGCCACTACTGTTGCTACTAAGTCTTATTCCCAATAAATGATCGTCACTGTTTATTATTGACATCACCATTGCTACTACTGCTACTGCTGCTGATGCTGCTGCTGCTGCTGCCACAACAACAACTCTTCCTCCTCTTCTTCCTCCTGCTGCTGCTGCTGTCACCACGACAACAACCACGCCCGCGATCACCATTTCCAGCACGACTGCGACCACCACATCACAAGCACAACACTACCACAACAACTACGACGACCACGACGATGACTACGAGTAGGATGAGCCGGTTGACGACTTCTATACGACCAGACTTGACTATGACTGCGATTACGGCTGCTGCTGGTGTTGGTGCGGCTACTTAGCCTGAAACGATCCAAAGCAAAGCCCCCACGCCCCGACCGCAGGTGGCACCCCGTGGTGCCACGCCCTCGGGTCATGCAAGACTATGCAGGGTTTAGCAGTGGCGGTTCAGGGATAGGTTGCATTTTTGCACTCTGAAGTCGCTGGCATGCCCCTACCCTTTTCGGCCCACGATTTAGGAGTGACCCCGCGTCCCTGCGAGTGAGTGTGAGCTGTGTGCGCGAGTCCCCTTTTGACCCAGCCGCCCTGCCTTAGGTCCCTGTCGGCCCGAGCTGCCCTGCATTCCAGTTGAACTTCTTCCCTGTGTTGTGAGGCTGAACGGCTGCTGCTTCGGTGGCCTCGGCACCAGTGCGTCGGGCTCCTGGACATTTTAGTTGGGATCAGGGTTCAGTTCATTTTAGGTGCCTTAGTTACTTAGCGCAGGCAGGGTTAATTGTATACGGTGAGCAGGTAGGTTTCTGATTGCAGTCCAGGACCCCAGCATGCTGATCTGTGAAAACCCAGACCCAATTAAGATTTCCTGGTCAGTGCTGAACTTCCAATTGCCATTGGGCCTCAAGGCATGCCGTGTGTTGGCATTGGTATATAACCGGAAAAGTCCATCATCGTTAATCGGCAGCTTCCCCCCCCATGAGAAACGAACATCCCAATCCTGAAGGGAAACTGCTGAATTGTTTTCACCTTTGAACGTTCAGTGTTGGGTTGCTAGCTAAGGCTATGTTCTTCACTTAGTCCAGGGCTTTAGAAGCTGCAGCTGCTCCCGGCAATAACCCGTCAGGGCGTGATTTTCAGTGGCATTTCCATCCGCCTTCAGGGTTGTGACTCGTGCCGCCATGTATCCGAGCCAATGGTATGGTGGCCAAGGCTACGACGTCTACGACTGGCAGGGTAAGGGCGGCGACTGGAAGGGTAAGGGCGGCTTCCCTACTACGGCCTGGAAAGGAGCCGCCATGAAAGGGGCTGTTCCGAAGCATGGGCTGCCGAAGGGCGAGAGGACAGGATTGTCGAAAAGCCAGGCTAAGTAAGGCTTCCGCTATTAGTGGGTCTAGGGTTATACCCTGTCCAGGGACCCCAGTGGCAGAAGCACAACAAGTACGTTTCGTGCCCAAACCATCCAGCGGCTCGACATCGACCTGACTGCCGCGCGCGAGGATTTGGAGCAATGCAGGGTAGGGTCTTTGAAACTTGCACAGAACCATAAACCCTAAGCCCTAAACCCTAAGCCC